GAAATCCCATCTACTCTAAAATACAACATCATAGAATTGTATTTCATGCTAAACTTACTTCCTTACTTACACATGGGGCTGAGCCCTTCTGGAGGAGCTGCCAATTTTGCAGCTACTCAAGAATTTTACAGCATTTATGGAACCCAAAAGTTAATTACCGTGTTCACAAGAGCCCTCCACTTGTCCATATCCTGAGCTAGATCAATCCAATCCATACCATCCCATCCTATCTCTCTAAGATCCATTTTAATATTATCCACCTACTTATGCCTTGGTCTTCCCAGTGGTTTCTTTCCTTGTGGTTTTCCCACCAATATCCTATATGCATTCCTCGTCTCCCCCATTCTTGCTACATGCCCTACCCACCTCATTTACTGCTAAATAATAGCTAAAAATATTTTGTTAAATTTTTTAAATATTAATTTTAACTTCTGACAACTGAGTTGTAATGTTTTACATTTTAAGACTAATATCCAAAATATAATGAAACACAAGTATTATAATGATACTCATATTAATGATTACTGATATGGATCCACATTATAAAGACACAGAAATAGAATTCAATAATGAATACTACATTTGGAGAAAAAGAATTGTTTGATGTCGATCCAGATGGATCGAAACATGTAGCAAATATACATAATAAAATGCATGATAATACAATAACACTGGTTATTTATTACAAATTTGTTGTGTTGATAATTATATAATAATATTATTATTGTAGCATAGTGCTTAAACCAATCAAATTTATTGTCACTATGATCAGTCGCTTGAGTGTGCCATGGTGTCGCATTGGTATATTTCTAAAGCAAGCACAGTTATTGAATTACTACAGGAAAGTGTGTTGCAACATTATCGGTTAGTTGATGAGGGGAAAGTGACACTGATGAGAAGCAGTTTCCAGCTACCTGAAGGACTCAGACCTCTGCTATAGAGCACTTCATCATGACAGTAGTGGTTTTACTGCAGTTGAAGACCATGTGCAAAATCAATCCAGTTTCAGTTTACATATGTGATTATTGTTTGTGAAGTTACATATGTATTTGGAAAGTAACTGGCATTAATTTTTCACTGCTCAGGTTATCACTTTCAGTCAAGTGTTCACTGAACTTGTGCAGTTACAGTGTAAGTCCTTAGATAGTTTCATGCTATATGTAAATGGCGTTTGTGCACAACATCCCCCCTCTATAAGAATTATTTTCTAGAATTACAATTTCAATTTCTTTCCATTCAATAAATCGCTTATAAGACTAAGACAAGGATCTACAGCATGTCACATATGCTTAATTCAAGTATAAATATAAACATATCTTTTGTTATTCCTCCTATTTAACTGACATTTTCATTTATAAGATATTATATTAAACCATACTCCTGATTATCTTTGCAGATTATCTGGTTTGCAGCTTATACATGCACATTTCTAAGAGTTTTTGAAACTGTGCAGAGCTCCTGTTAATTGAATTCAGCCAGTAAATCTGTCTGAATGAAATAACTCAAAACTGCTGGGTGAATTTTCATGAGATTTAATATTGGTGAATTTTACAAAAAAAGAAAGCCAGTCCGTTTCAACATCCGTTCAGATCATACAATTTTAATGCCAAATTTACACGAATATGTATATCTCATGCTCATACCTGATGCATATGTCACTAAATATTTATCTGAGAGAAAAATGTTTTGAACAAAAGCTATTGATAAACATAAATTTATGTACAGTACAGTACATTTTTAAACTGAACACTATGTGTACATTTCTGTATTCCTACAATACCGTTATCTGCGTTTTCAGCTATTCATGCATACATTCCCCTATATTAGCACAAATAATTGAAAGTATATTATATACAGAACAAAATAAATATGTCAAAGAAATACTGTCCTTATGGTATGCATCCTGTTGTGTCATATGAATTGAATTGAATTGAATATATAATGATATATAATGGGACAGTATGGCATACCATAAATGTTGTAAATGCTAGTCATGCATACTGCATAAATAAATACATGAATGCTAAGCTCAAGTTACTGAATTGCGATGCAAATTTATCAATGACGCAATTCAAGAACTAGTACCAGTATTCTTATATGCCTGAAGATGATCCAAGAAAAGGGTCAAAACATGTAGCATTACCACCAACGGCTAATATAAACAAATGTTGGCGCAGTAGTGTCTATTCTGTCTCTTTCAGCATTGCTGTGTAAAGAAATACTGTCTTCATATAGTATATTTACAGTACATAAATATTAAGTTAAAGTAAATAGTTCTATTGAGTAGTGGTAAGATATGATGTTATTTTGCTGCTGGCTGAAATATATATCATTATCTATATAACGATTTAAACTTACGATGGTAGATTGAAGATAACTGAATAACTTTATTCCTCGTGTGGTACATTACTTTCTAATATCTTGTGAGGTTAGAATTCTGCACATTGAGGTCTCACTAGCTCTAGTGTTTACATTGTGTAGGTCTCAACTTGTTTCTAACTTTCAATATTGTCCATAATGAATGACAGTGATAAGAGCAAGAATTAGCTGATAACAAGTACACTAAAAGTTTTAAATAATTCTCTACAAGAGTTTGTCGTATAAATGGCTTCCTTTAGTTTAATGATTGTCTTCTTTGCTTCTGTTTGAATTTTACCAGAAGAATAGACCATACAACATGATAGAATAGAAATATCCTTATAGTTAAGCATGCGTAACATAGTTTCTAGATGATTATATATATTCAGCATATTTCCCAATTTCAGTTTTCGAATTTGTGGCCCAAGGTATTTGGTTGCTCCTGCTTCTTGTTGGTTTCTCTATTATTAACCTATATTAGATTGATATTTTTATCATCAGTAGCAAATTTCATGAAGTTCCAGTAAAACTCAAAACATATGCTTTCCTACTCCACAGACTTCTATTTAAAAAAATTATATATATACGTTTTGCCATATTTAATGTAAAATAAAGTTGTTCCTTTGCTTAATCAAGCAGTATGCTCATAGCTTCACCATTCTTGACCTTGACACTACATACATACATACATACATACATCAGCGTTTCAGAGTGTTGATAAGTGTGCAACTGACACTGAATATAAAACTTGTCAAATAGCAGTCACAAGACAATCACAGATAAAATCGCAGAGACATCAATTCAACCATAGTTAAACTCTAAACTGAATACCTCAATCAAATAGATACAATGTTACACATACAATTATACCAACAAGATAATTAGCAATACATAGTGATTCTGAATACCTCAATCAAATAGATACAATGTTACACATACAATTATACCAACAAGATAATTAGCAATACATAGTGATTCTCCTTTCTTAACTTACACTTACACTTAATGTCTATATTAATGCCTACTGTGGGACATCCATCACTCAGCATGCACTCCCCTTCTATTCCTTAGCTGTTGATCCTGACAGAGGAGCAAAAATTCATCAACAGTACATGACGGATTATGTATTAGCACATCCCTTAATTCTTTTATAAATTGTCTTTCATANCTGGCATCTGATGAATTACCCCAAAAAACTATTCCATATCTCATGAGTGAATGAAAGTATGCATGATATATCATTTTAAGTGTTGTAACATTACTATATGTTTTCATAATTCGTACTGCATAACATGCCTTTCCCAGTCTGGGTAACAATGATATGCCTTTCCCAGTCTGGGTAACAATGATTCAACCTGTGTCTTCCAATTCAAGAACTTATCAATTTCAATGCAAAAATATTTAATATGAGTTTCCTCTTATAATAATTCATCGTTAAACTTTAAATGTATAGGCATATTGTCACGATTGACCGTTTCAAATTTTAACACTTCAGTTTCCCTCAAGTTTAGAGATGAGATGATGAAGGTTAGTGGTCAGCTTCATGCCCCAGCTGCTTTGTCTCTGGGGAAAGAGCCCCTGGCATCCATTGGACAGGGGCTCAGTGGGCTCCATAGCTGGTCTGGATGTTGTGGAGTAGAGAAAAATATCTTACTCCTGGCAGGAATCAAAACCCATCCATCCAGCCTTTAGCCTATCGCTATGCCAACTGTTGAATGTAAATATCTGTGACCAAAGCATGTCTCTCTCTAATGAATTCCCAATGTCAGCTGTTCTTCACCCATACGATATGCAATAGTATAAATTGGCCCAAAACTTGTCAGTATGGGGATTTTGGATTGCTGTCACTGAAATGTTTGTACTTACATAATTTTTAAATGATCTTGCAGACCACATGCATTCAATTTTATCCACAAAATGTTTTTTTATCAGTGTGGGGGCTATTACACTGCTGTCAGTGGACACAACATATGCCGCGCCCTTCGAATGGTAGGATGACGGATGAATTTAAAATGATTTGATGGAAGGGGTCATGCCTAACAGAGGTACAATTCCATTTGCCAGGAAGTACAAAGAAATGCTAGGAAAAAACTTTCATCCCTGCAAGCTCCAGATTTTAAAGACAAAGCAGATTCCGCCGCAGAACCCATGTGTCAGAATTATTCAAGAGTATATTGCGTTATTTTTTTTGTTGCTAGTGGGGTGGGATTAAGTCCCTTGTACTGCGGCCACTTCTGGCCTATTTTACCAGCCCCAGATGATAGGTGAGGGTGATTGTGGAGCAGTTGGTGGAATGAAGATTGACAGGGGAAACCGAAGTACTCGGAGAAAACCTGCCCCAGCGCCACTTTGTCCACCAAAAATCCCACTTCACCAGACCCGGGTTCGAACCCTGGCCGCCGCGATGGGAAGCCATACTGCGCTATGTATCGTTATGAATGGTGTTGGATTTCAGAGGGGAATCATGAATTACGAAGGTTGAATAGTATAACCTTCTTACCGACTCGCCTACCACTCTCGTTGACAGTTGTTATCATGTATGATTCCGAGATGACAGCACAATATGCATAATCCTACGTTGCCAACATATGGCTAGTAACCCGTGAATTTCATATCTGAAGGTTGGTAACCAGTGCGAATGTGGTTAAGTTAACTGTGAGCGAGTGGGAGTAAGTCGTTTAGGAAGCTATATGTTAGCGTTTGTTGGTGTGTAAACGTATTTCCGATTTAATTTGTGCTCTAGGTTAACCATGGCTGGGTGCCTAGAAAATGTGCAGCTACCTCCGTGTGTATGGTTCGAAGGAGATGATAAAAGAAACGCAGTTGCATCAATTGCAGCGGGTGTACTTGTGAGTACTGAGTCATAAGCTGGACGTTTCAGTGCATTAGTTTTCAGTTTAATGTTAAATTAGTTATATCGTAATACTGGAGGAGAAGCACCATCGGGTGTATTATATGGTTAATTATTATATTGCAGTTTTTCACCGGCTGGTGGTTCATCATAGATGTCCAAGCAGCGTATCCACAAAACGAGGAGTTTAATAAAGCGTATCACGTCTGTGGTGTCTTCGGAACTCTCTCCTTGTTTATGTGAGTTTCAGTAATTTGGAAAATACAAGATAATTACATCATAAAAGTTACAGAAATGTATGGCTGATTTAAATTTAAGTTGTAACTCTCGCGTTTGAGAACAAAATTTAACCAGATTTGATTACGCGTTACGTTTATATGTTCCATAAGCAGCAAAGCTGGCCGCTCCTTCCGAGCTTATAAACGTCAGATTCATGTTGAATGGCACCGTGAAATTAGATAACTGGTTTATTAGATCAACTACTTTTTGGAGTAAATTTCAGAGAACATATTCAAATCATGAGCATGCACCATAATTTCATTGTTTATTGGAATCATATTTTTTGTTATAAGAATAATAAATAGACTGTAGATGTGCATGTGTGGAGTAGGTGGTGTCTCTTTAATGTTATGTCTTTCATGTGATTTATCAGCCAGCCTCACAGCTGTACTCTGCGTGATGTCATTATGGATGGCATCAGGAATAGGAAAGGACTTTTTTTACAGGGATGTTTTGTTGTTTACCCTGCCCCCTCCTGACAATGAAGTATTGGCATCCCACCTTTCCAGCACCATTGTATGTAACAGACACAGTTTTGGTGTTCAAAACCCGTTCTCAAAATAAGCATAGAGCTGATGGAGCTCATAATGTAACTATCTGAGTATTCCTGCAGTTTGCATCTCTCTGCTTTATTCACTCAGTAGCTCACTTGACTCCTGGAGTCAGTCCTCATTGTATAGTGCATAGTTTGTGTACTGTCGTGTATTTTAACCATTTATTTTTTTAAATAGCCGAATAGGAAGAGAACACATTTGAGTGTAACAGAAAAAATTAGTGTTATATATAGACATGCCAACTTAAACTTAAGCATTCCTTCAAAAGGAAATTGGCTTCTAAGTTGGAAGTGCCTTACTCATCATTATGAGGAGTAAAAATCACATGCCAAATTGAATAGTTGATTCATCTCTTAGGTCTTTGCACTCTGTGGATGTAGATGATTCAGAGGTATTTGTAGCATCAATCTTCAGGATTGAAGTATGTAGAGTGGGTGAGTTTCCACATATATATAGCACAGTATTTATCAATTTAATTTGGCCACAGAACCCTTCTGCACTTGAGATATTATTAAGGAACCCCAAATAAGATTTCTATATATGATGCTAAAAGACTAGACCACAAATAAATAATTAACTCCATGTAGCCAAGTCCTTTTTGAGAGGCCACCATTCAGTCAGCTGCTCAAGAATTTCACAAAATTTTATGGAACCAGATGGTTCATTATTGTGTTCACAAGAGCCCACCACTGGTCTCTATCTTGAACCAGATGAATCCAGTCCATACCACCCCATCCTGTTTCTCTAAGATCCATTTTAATATTATCCTACTCCTATGTCTAAGTCTTTCTACTGGTATCTTTCCCTCTGGATTTTGCACTAAGACTCTGTATGCATTCCTCCTCTCTCCCATTTGTGCTATGTGCTCTGCCTACCTCTGCTACTTGACTTGATCATTCTAATTATATTTGGCAAAAAGGAGAAGTTACAAAGCTCTTCATTATGCCTATACAGTTATCCCTGACTTCCTATTATTTCATCAATCTTGGGTTCAGGCATTGTCAGCACCCTATGCAGCAACATATGCAGTCTGTGTTCATCCCTTAATGTCAGAAGCAAGTTTCACAACCATACAAAACAGCAGGAAAATATTATTGCTTTCCATATTTTAATTTTTGCGTTTTTAGTCAGCAGCAAAGAAGACAGAAGATTCTGGACTGAATTATAGCAATTATCATCTGAATTTTAAACTGCTGTTAATTTCTTCATGAATGAGAATTTGCCACATGAAAGTAAGGATAATAATACATAAGTATAAAAACAGGAATATAAGATCAACATATTGTAGCATGTAGAGACCCATTGCTAGGTAATAACAGTGAAACAAACAATGAAACAACACATGCCACTAGGCAACAGACTTGTAATAAGCAACAGAGGAACTGTGTTTTCTACACGGTCTGTGCCAAGATGTAATAAATGGGATAGTTGGAACAATGAGTCAGTTTCGGATATTCTTCAGACAATAATGTGAGCATAGAAGCTGAAGAATCTCCCTTGTTAGGATCCGCTACCAGGAACAGCTAGTGAAAGCAGACTGAGAAGACTAAGTGTGTGCTGTAGTGATTTGTAAAGTGTGGAGATTAGTGATGGCGCAATGATTACTTGTTGTAATGCGTTATGTGTACGTGTATAAGTGTTCAGTAAATCCAGTCAATCCAAACCCCATCTATAGTCACCCATACATGTGACAGTATTATTTAATTGCACATACTTAGAAACAAACCGGTCTAGGAAACTGATAATAACAGCCTTGGAGATCCATTGCGCTGACCACACGACACCCTCTATCCGCTAAAGTTGCCACTAACTTCACCGACAAGCATTGGTCGCCCGGTCGGTATAGTTCACTTGCTGACTACAGGTCACAGAGCTTTTTTTTTTTTACTTAGAAACAAAAATGACAATTCTTGCATAATGAAAAATGAATCTTAAAAATTAATATATCACATTTTTGTAATTTATAATTTTGAGCCTGCTTTCCTTATTTTGAAAAAATAAAAGTAGGCTTATGTGATCGCCTTGCTGACTGTGTGTGGGCATGTGCCTGCATCTCTCTCTCTCTCTCTCTCTCTCTCTCTCTCTGCCCTCCCTTCAACAACTTTTGAACTCTGAAACCAATCTTAATGTAACTTGGTGTAGAAGAGGATATTGTGCCACCTGAGGCCATCTCAATAGCATACTTCATAAATCCTTCCACTCAGGAATACCTACACTGCAGCCTTTCAAATGGTATTGTTTTATTGACTTCATTGCACACACATACCAAAGTTTTTCAGCTTGTCAGATTGAATTCATTCATTCATTCATTCATTCATTCATTCCCTTTATTTTCCATATATCCATACAGGCAAAAAACCTAGGATGTAGAAATAGTCCCTGTACATATAATAAATTACATAAGTCACAACCAAAATCACACACACCAGTCAACCAACATAAATAATAGAACAAAAAAAACTTATTACAATTATAATTAATAAACATAATTTAAAAAGAACATTACTATAAAAACTTAAAATTAATACAATTTCACTCAGATTACTCAAATTAACTGAATTCAATGCATTACAAATTTACACACTTATGACCAACTATCTTCCTTCTTTCTTTCTTTATTTAATTTTCCCATAAATCAAAATACATTGATACAGGACTCGTCATATACATACATACACATCCTCCACTTTCCATAAACCTCCATACAGGCAACAGACCCAGGATGTGGAAATAGTCACCAAACACATACACAAAGTCACACAAGCCACACAACAAAGATCACCCAAATTAACTATCTAACACATACAACAATATGAGGCAAAAAGATAATATCCTGATTAACAGACATAATTCACAAGTAACCACAATACAACCCCTCACATCTCCTACACCAACTATATTAAAATATGCCGTTAAAACATTCAAATTTATGTACATTTGTAATTAAAATACTCATTTAACCTTTAAACGCCGGACTTCGAAATAGTGGTAAGCTTGAGCTGGCCGGAGTTTATTTAAATGTCCGCTGCTGGTGCGCGTTTAAATGCCCGTTGCTACGCTGCGTTTAAATGTCCGTTCCTGTTAGGCGCTTAATCAATTTTAAGCGTTGTGTTTAAAAATGCTCTATCTAGCTCAATTTTTATGATAAATGGATGGAAATAACTTTGTTTATTTCAGAAAAGAACATAGTGTCGCNTTAAGCATTCAAATTTATGTACATTTGTAATTAAAATACTCATTTAATGCATAAAAAGAGTTAGCATGTAAAAATCTTTTTAGGGCACATTCAAAGGATTTCTGGTTATTAGATAATTGTTTCAGCTCTTTAGGCAGATGATTGAAGATTTTTATACCAGAATAATATGCACCCTTTTGAACTTTAGTAAGAGAAGTACTCAGTGGAAATAGGTTAACATTCTGTCTGGTACCAATATTATGAACCTCCGTATTTCTTGTAAACAAATGTATGTTATTTATAGTGTGTTGCATCAAGGTATGTATGTATTGAGAACACAAAGGCAGAATTTTCATTTCCTTGAAAGAGTCTCTGCATGAATCTCTTTTCTTTAATCCCATCATAATCCTTATAACTTTCTTTTGGATCATAAAAAGTTTTGTCATGTATGAAGAATTGCCCCAGAAGATAATTCCATATGTCATCACAATGTATATAAGCAAAATAAATCATTCTTAAGCTACTAAATGATATCATAGGCATAACTGTTCTCATAATAAAGCAAGACAAACTCAATTTAGTAACAAGGTAATCAATATGATTCTTCCAACACAGCCTATTATCAGTGTTTAGGCCTAAAAATTTTATACACTCTAAGTTAGTCGGTAAATACTGAATACTGAAATTGTAGTGAAAAAACATAAGCATTTACTTTTTCTCAGAACCACCTTGTTTTACACCGTAGACACACGACAGGAAGAGCCACCCACCACCTTTATATACAGGAATACATAGATGGGAGTAAACATCAAATATTAGAACCACAAACATGGAGGAAGTACAAAAGTTTTCAGCACCTGATGATGACCAGTGTCGGTCGAAACATGTAGTGTGGGGAAGTTTTAAAAAGAGACATTGTGTGTTATAAGAAATTTCAGTTCTTCCTCCAAGGGAATTATCCTCTAATAGTATACTTTTACCTACAGAATCTTGCAAAAATTATTGTCATGTGATAGAGTGACTATAGATGAGGTTTGGATTGGTAATCTGATTTATTGGACACTTTAACACACAACTTGTGACTGCACTTTACAGATCACTATCACACAAATATTAGTGTTGTCAGTCATGGTCTTCGCTGTGCTGCTTGGTAGCATCTTCCAATCTCACACTTTCCCCTTCCTCTGGGTTCCCGGATTGTCCCTGGCCTCAGCTAGCAGCTGCAACTCTGAACTGACTGACTGACCAATCAACACGCTGCCAATGCCATCTCGTCCTCACTATATAGCCTCGGCAAGGACTGCACAGAAATCACTGCTTCCCACAGCTCTTCTGTTGTTATATGCATGTCTGTTGAGGCCTTCATGTGACAGCTACTGAGCTATTGCCTAGGAATGGGTGTCTTTATGGAGTTGTTCCCTAGCAATGGCTCTCTGTGCTGGCTTCACGATTTTGGCTTTCAGCAGACACACCACAATATATTGTGTATGCAAGTGAAGTGCATCACATGAGGTGCTATGGAATTGTATATTTGCTGTTTGCCTGTCTTGGTATGAGCGGTAGGAATAGGAATAAATTTCAGTACTTTCTTTAACATCGCATGCCAGATTGTTGTGATACAAGTGTCTTCACTGGAGTCTCATTGGCAGATACTTAACCAAACATTTTTTATGGGTCGTATTGCAAAAATATGCTGCCTACAGAAAAACTTTTCTAGGATTTTTGTAATTATTTTTTAATGGTAAATCTTGTGATTGGTGTAAGTTGTGTGATTGTATAATGTCGGAGAATCTTGTTATATTATTTGTGAATTAATTTATGTACAACCTTATAAATGTGTGCCTGCCTGCTTGCCTACCTACCTACCTACCTACCTACCTACCTATAGGCAGAGTGGCTGGTGACTAAAAATCCTAGGCATTGTTGAGGAGTTTGGGTTTTGGTTGTGATGGCAGCCTCACTTGATTGTGATCTATGAGTCTTTGGGCAGAACCTTGATTTGTTTCAAGTGTGATTTATAGTGCCTGGTTTGCATGTGTTTAGGGCAAACAATAAGAAAACAGGAAGAAATTAATCTTGGTGCCAGAAAATACTGGTTCACTGTTTTTGGGTGACCAGAATATTTTTCTGAGAATCATGTTTTCAAACAAATTTTTGACATCACGTAACATTATGTGAGATGCTAGTTTCGTGTAGTGAAACACAGTTAAACCCCACCAAATGTTAAGCTGGAAGACAACTCCTTGCAGCATGTCTGCGACTGTTTACTCAGTGTATTCACAGGTATCTGCATGCCTTGCTGCCCATGTGCAGCCTGAGGATACATCATTCCATGGTATCAAGGGACCCATCTGACATGAAGACAATTGCATACCAAGGTGCATCGTAACAGACATTATTTATATGCTCAAGTCAAGGAGGATGAGATTGGCAAGGGGTGATGAAAGTAACACACAGTTTTGCTTGGAAGACATGTAGAGAAGAAGAGTTTGATTTGTTTCATTCTGGTCCATCACAATAACAATTACAAATTATAAATCACTCCGTCCAATGTAACTGTAAGTTTTTACTACATAAAAGGGTGTTAAGTTTTTATGTAGTAAAAAACTTATGGTCACATTGGACAGAGTGATTTATAATTTGTAGAGAAGAAGAATTTGTCAAATGCATAGGTCGTACAGAATTTAATGAGAAATGACAGGTTGAAGATGAATATTTCGCGATGGGGAAATTGGTCATGTCCTGTAAGATACTGTCCAAGTATTTGTCTGCGGAAATTGAAGAACATTGTGAGAAATGTCAGTATAGAGACAAAGTTCTAAGATATGAAGTTGCTACCTCCTGAATTTCAAAGCAGGAATGCTGTCAGCTGTACTGTGTTTTTAAACTAGGTGCATTCAGATAACTACATAAATAAGTGTTTATGTTGGATTGAAGACCGCACTTAAGTTGCTAGAAGTAAGAGGATTTGTCTCCAGGCGCCAAACTGTATGTTCTGTGATGCACAGATACCTGAACAATACAATAAGAAAGATTTTTAAATTTCATTTGTATGCATGATAGCCATTTATGAGACAGTTACACTCAATGGAAAGGTATGGTGAAGTCAGTTATTTCATATATTCAGTCAAAGCCCAATGAAGGATAATGCCATATTGGGTTACACATTTTAATGAATGTAAAAAAAAAAGTAAAGCTATCCCTGTAAGAGGCCGTGAAGGCCTGTAGGATTGTGAGACATTGAGGACCCCACATTATCTAGATATTCAGCTCAAATATGGCGGTAAGGTTGTCAGCCTCACGCGCCAGCCGTGCTCTACTCCCCAGGAAAATTATGTGGTAGCATAGTTGGTTGAGGGGCTATGCTACAAGCCAGAAGGTAGTGGGTTCAAGTCCCAGTGAGGTCATTGAATTTTTTCAATTGACCTAATACTTCCAGATGCACTATGGCCCTGGGTTCGACTCAGCCACTAACAGAAATGAGTACCAGGAATTTTAATGAATGTATGTAATGTAATTTATCTCTTCTGCAGGATCAATTCTGTTTCTAATGCCCAAATTCGGGGGGATGCCTACTCTGGTGGCTGCTTTGGCTCTCGCGGCGCCAGATTCTGGCTTTTTGGTGGTTTTGTAATGGGTTTTGGAGCTGTGATTGCATCTTGCTGGATTTTGTTTGCTGATTATGTTGCTTATGGTGAAGGTAAGTTTCCTAATCATACTCATTTTATTTTCTGTCTTTCAAAATGAAAAGATGGCTTGCAGTGTAAATGTCATCTTGTGTAAATATATAGTTACGAAAATTAGCTGAAGCACAGAGTCTTGGAAAGGATAAAATGTTATATTCATGACATAAAAAGAAGGTGGAAAATTTTAAGTAGAAAGTGAAATTGTGCTAAATCACAGAAAGAATTAAAAATTTACATATTAGTTAGGCATATACTCTGGATAAGAGATGTCAAAAACACAAACAGTATGTCTGTTTAAAAGTTATTACATTCCCATTTTAATCTGTGGAGGAGGAACACAGGTATTAACCAAGTCAGATAATAGATTAACTGGGACTGAGGTGCAGATTCCTAAGAATGTATAGAAAGGAAAATCAGAGAATAGGGAGAGAAGAAGTGAAAAAATTACAGAAAATTTGAATGTAAAAATTCTGATATGACAGCTGAAAACTGGAACAGTGGAACATGAAGAAGCGGCCATTGCTAGGCAGTGGCATGATAAACACATTTTAACAGCAACAGGTAGTGATGCAGTGTTTTCATTGCCACCCAGCCTGTCAGAGTTGTCAGATGGTAAATTATGGTCATGAGTCTCATAGGACTCGGAACCAAGTACCACTGTGCTGGTGAGGGTCAGCAGCAGTTAGCAGTCGGTCTTGAGCTGCATTTTTAGCAGCTGCTACCTAGCAGCAGCTGGTGAACAAACAGAAAACTTTAAGTGCATTGTAGTTTTAGTGATCAGTAGAGTGTATAAATTGACGAGGCTGTTGTAGTTATGAGTTACAGGTGTTGAGTATATCCAGTTATCAGTCCGAACCCTGTGGCTATCACAGACAGGTGACAGTACCTTGGAAGATGAATTCATAAATAACAGAAGAAGATGGCAAGGGGATGGAATGAAGTGGAATCCCAGTGAAGGTTTTGAGCATGAAAGTGTATGAAAAATGCACTAGAGAAAGGCTGAAATGGGTACAGTAGGTTAGGAAACATGTCACACAGAGGGAAGAACATCAGAAAAACCGAAGAGAGCGACTTTGGGAAGACATAGATGGAAAGGCCTGATTACTGGAGGACCCTGATAACAGTGGAAACATTGAAACAAGAAGCAGATGTCAATCTGGCTGTCACTTAATGGAAGTGACATCAGTAAATCCTAGCCATCCATCTCTGTGCAGTGATATTTCCAAAAATTTAATTTAAGCGTCTTGTGCTGTATAGAATCAAGGTCAGCCAAAGCATATCTTTTATGTCCTTACAGATCCCCACGGTGTATGGACATACGCCACATACTCATGAATTTTAAGCAAAACCTCCAGTTTCCATTATCTGTATAAATAAAAATGTAAATGTTCGTTTGTTCAAGATCCTAAATCCCCGAAAGTTCTTCACCGATTGCTTTGAAATTTTGACACAACGTTGCATTCGAATATGTGCGTTTTTATATACCTATTATATACATGTCACACCTGTGACAGGTTGATTGGTTGTTAAAATATTAATTGTACTCAATATTAATATACTGTAACGTGTTATACGTCGTCCATCGCTGTGCAATGGCTACAATTGAAATTGTTGAGTTCCCACAGCGAGAAATCGAATACCAACAGATCATTGCCTAGGAATAACCGTGGCAACGAAATGTTGAAACAGCGGAAATAATGCATTTCTGCGGCAACGAGCACAGAACACGTGAAATCGAACCCTGGGCGAAAATGCCCTCTATTGCGTCTGAAACCAGGTTATAATAGTCCAGCTCCGAAGAGTTTTTCGGCGATACTGGACGTGATAATAATTGTACTCGCTGGTGTAAAAGTGAGCGTTCAATAACTTATTCGCTGAATCCGAGACGTACGTGGAAGTTATTTGTCGCACTGAATAGGAGACACGTAACCACAACAACGTTACATAGGTAACACGCGACATATTCTTATTGTCAAAGTACACGTAAATAATGTGTCAATTTAAAAGACATCAAGAATATGTCACTCACTAAATAAAAATGTAAATGTTTGTTTGTTCAAATTCTTAAATCCCTGAAAGTTCTTCACCGATTGCTTTGAAATTGACACAATGTAAATGTAAATGTTCGACTGAGCCACAGCAATGCATGGCCGGGTACAGCTAGTGTGTAATAAAAGGGGTAACAAAGTTGTGAAACTTATGGAGTAAATAAGTTGTGCGATGCAATCATTTAATTTCTGTACTGACTGCAGCATAAAACTACTGTAATTTGGATAGAACTCCCCTTTTAGGTGCAGATAGAACAGAATCTGTAGCCATTTTCCAGTAATTTCAAAATTGTAATCATCACCCAGATGTGACACTATGTGAGGTGAGGTGAGGTGAGATGAGGTGCGCTCTTTGCGAATTTTATCATATCAGAAAGTGGCTGATTTCAAAGAACAGCACATGCACATCAAGTTCTTATTCAGTCTAGGCATAACTGCTGCAGATACAGATGAAATGTTCAAAACTTTCTGAGATGAAACATTGAACTGAGCTCAAGTGTTTAACTGGTGTTCGGAGATTGAAAGTTGATGGACATAAGTTAATGATGCTGTGCATTCAGGGCGCCCTCCCATGAGTAAAACAAAGAAAATGTTGCACAAATCAGGGAACTTCTTTTGTGAAAATAGACCTGTCGCTAACTATAACATCATTAATGAGGTGGGAATCTTATTTGGATCATGTCAAAGCATTTTGTCACAAGATCATTATCACAAGTAAGAGTCATCACAGATGATAAGTTGGCAGTGAAGTGGAGGAGATTTTTGACATCACGATGGAAAAATAGTCACAGGCTTACCAAGCTAAGAATACAGGACTTCTACACATGCTTCCAAGAATAATGCAACATCTGGGCTCACCACATGAGGTTGCAAGGAAACTATGAACAGTGTGGGCTAGCAGGCAAATGCTGTTATCACAGATTACGATCCTGATATTATTTGAACACACCACATATGTTCCAAGTGTGAAGTAACATAAGCAAGTGTAGTAAGTGGTGTGACAGGTAGAGATACCCATATTGATGTGTTCTGAGTTATAACATGATGTGAGTTGGTATGTGGTTACCAAAATTTGGAAAAGAATTTCTGCCCCCAACTTCACTTTAACCCCAAAGATGGAGACAGTCCATTTCTCCAAAATGTTGGTAAGCACCTGACAGACTACATGATGTCAAGAGCCAGAAGACCACAATTTGAATCGTCATTGTTGTGGAAACATCAAACATATGTGGAAGATTTCATGACTGTATGTGCCAAGTGCCAGCTTAGTGTCTCAAAAGGATGTAGACATCTGACTGTCAGTAATGTGAAGTTAGCAAAACCTGAATTTCAGTCAATCATTACATGTAGTAATGACACTAAAATTCTTTATGTTTCAGGAAAACAGTCTACATGGCCAGGAGTGGGTCTTTTCCTACAGAATTCCTTCATTTTCATTGGTTCACTGGTATTTAAATTTGGAAGATCAGAGGATCATTGGAATTAACTAATAAAAAATTTTTGTCTTGACCTTTCTTATGTTACATGTAAGTTACTGTGGTATTCGGTGGAGAAATTGGATTGCCATGATCTGGTGTGATATCTTACTATAGGAGAAGTATAAAGTAGAAGACTGGATTGTAATCTAAGAGACATACTGGTGGTAAACCTCTTGTCACCTTTCATCTACTTTAAAAATAGTGGTTAGTTTTCTGTACTTGGAATTACCATTTTCACACCTACTGTCAACATTCACAAGTGGACATTTCCACTGTTTTAGTTGCTAAAATCATGTATGTGCATCATTCTCTTGAATTCTAAATTTAAAAAAGTATGTATGGTATTTCCAGGTAAGAATGTTGTATGGAGTGTAACAATTCCAGAATCACAGGCTTATTCTGACATGTATTCAGACAGCATGCAGTATATTCGTACTGATTTTGTCATATTCTCCTGAATACACTCATTTAGTGTCTCAGTTGTTTGTGAATGTTAGGCATACACAGCAGATTTCAAATGAACCCAGAAGAGAAGGTCTAGAGGAGGTAGGCCTTGTGATCCAAGGTGAAATTCCACTGCTCTGTGGTGGCATCTATTTTCCTAGTATCGTGGCATTTAATTAGTTTTTTGCAGAGAGTGTTGAAGGCAAAATGTGGAAGTTTCCCATCCTGCTGAAGCCAGAAGTACTGTAATGTTACAAGCAGCATGTCATCTGAGTAAGGTTTCAAGACTTTATTCAACATTCCCACCTATGTTTCTGCATTTACAAAAGCATGAGAAATGAGTATGGTCCAAGCAATGTTACATGGATGCCACAACAGACCAGTACCTTCGGATCATTCTGAACACGGGTCTCTGTGAACCAGTGGGAGTTCCCATTCATCCAATAATGGCAGTTATTGTGTTTCGTCATTCCACTTAGATGAAAAAGTCCCACGTTACAGAACAAGATATCGGACTAAATGGAAGGTTGCAATAATTGCTGCTGTTTTATTCAGTCCCCAACTGCAGTTGTCTATCACATTTATCCTTGTGTACACATGCGAATCTGTAAAGGTGGTACTTGTTTCACTGTAAAATGCATGCAGCAGAACTGTGATTTATTCCTGCTTCTAAGTCCATTTTTCATGTTGATCTGTCAAGGTTCACCACAGCCTTTGCTAACACATTTTGATGTGATCAGGATCTGTACCTNCACCTGTTGATGTTAAAGTAGCTAGCTGTGGAGTGACGGAGATGATTCTTCGGGATAACTCTTCTTCTGACGAGGATAAGTAAAGAAATCTAAGTTTCTTTAATTGCTGGTATATTTATTCACAACTTCCACCAAAATCCAAAGACCAAGTGGTAGAAAATACAGACAAAGGATGAGATTGAACTGCGATGAAACAGAGCTTCGCCCTCTGAGAGTCGAGAGTAAGATCTGAATATTGCGTACCCACACCTGGCCCTTCTTATAGGATTAATCTGGGCGTTGGCTGAAAGGAATGCACACATGGCTTCCACTAACGAAACTTCTTAACTTTGACATTGAACAGAGTTCTCAGCGCCTCAGCGTGAGAAGAAACGCATCTTTTAGAAAGTTTGTTTATCGATCCCAGATTAATCTTATAGCCCACTTAGACAGAGAATATACTCTTTACATTCATGGTCTCACTGCTCCAAGTGGTGTGATTTCATCATAGCATGGTCTCGCACTCTCATCTAATGATTATTAGGTCCTGACAGATTTGTGGTAATGGACCATCTGCATTACTCAACTCTGTAGCTAAAAGGTTTTATACAAAGACCCTTGTGTTTGGTCTCAATGATGGCTTCTTACATCTGGTTTCTCTTATACTTCTTGATACAATTTCATATTAGTTTCTCTATATTACTACTGATACAGTTAACAATACATTTAAAATATTCAGTTATTCATTACTTTTAAGCGATTACTGCTCTTGGTACATTTCCTTCTTATATCTAGTATGTTTTCTTATAACACTCATTACAACTCATTACACCCCCCTTCTTATTAAAAAGTTTTTACCTTGGGGTGAGAACTTTTATCTGAAAATATTCTTACTCCTTGTTCTTTTTGCTATGGAATCCAGGTCATCTTTTAACCTTAACTTTTCGTCCGTCTCCCTCTTAGGTTGGCTCGTACTTGGGCTTTCTAGTCCAGGTAAGGATTTTATGGAAACTGCGGGAGAGGTGTTTGTTTTTGCATATTCTACTCTGGATCCATTGTAGTTATAAATGCTAACACAACACTTTTCTTGTGTTTGCTTCCAACATTCTTTTGGGTGCCATTTGCCCCATAACCAAAAGAATCCGTTTCTACAACATTTACAGCAGCAACAGCTTAAGCAAATACATAGAATTGTTACAAAGATTACACCAAGTGTTGATCCCCATGATGTTGCCATCATGTACAGGTTTCGTTCATGTTTCGTTTCCTGATCCTTAATCATTTGTTGCACTTCATCTGCCCTCATACTTGCTACTCTTAGGTCATCTATATTTGACATTACATTGACCAAAGGAATTTGCAGAGGTAATTCTTCAAAATTTACTTTCTCTAGATCTTCGAAGCAACAGTCGAAGTCTACTGGTGCTGAAGGCGCGTAGTCACTTGTTAAATTAGTGTAAAATGTTGACAATGCATACAATGTCACGTATGACGAATAACCTTTGCAACCTGGTTCTAAAGTTAATTTTCCTTCCTTTTGTAATTTTAAAGTTGTTGTACCTTTTGGGCATAACACTGTGAATGTGTCTGTTTGAGGTGCGACAAACAACCATTGGTTACTCCTATGTAGGGGTATCAAAAATGTTTTACTTAACTTGAAAAAATTGTACTCACATTTTCTTGGTACTGTCGAAGTGGATGGGTGAAGCAAAGTGGCTTCACAATCCAGGTCAGGAACGTACGTATATATAGGTATTTCTTCCTTACATACATATGTGAATTCGTTTGATTGAAAACAACCTGTCAATTCATTAAGTGTCATTTTGCCATAATGCTGTCGTAGGGGATCGCTAAATATAAGTTCCTTATTGAATCCGATGTAGCTATAAGTGGATTCCTCTTTGCTTACTGCTGCTGGAAATGGTAACATCTTATACAAATTATAAGTTGTAGAAGAAAACAATGGAATTTCTAATACATACACTAAAAATTGTCTATGGGAGTAGGTATTGGGTGTTATAATTTTCTGCAGTTCGGGGAAAGGAAAGTTTGGATAATCCAATCCATTTGGCAGTTTCTGTGTAATCAGAAGATTCTTTATTTTCTCTACTGTAATCAGTTGCGGTTGTAGGGATCCCTGTTCGGCATGGACGAATGCATCAATCAGTATCTCGAATGAGTGCTGACTCTCATCGATTCCTCTTTGTATGAGCCTAAACTGCTCGTTAATCAGATTTACGTTCTTTATCTCTTCTTCTATTTCACTAAATTTATGTGCGCTGTAATTAAGCATTTTGGTTAAGCCTTCTGTCATTACTTTTTCGTTTTGGTTTACCTTTTGCAATGTGGAGTTTACTGAGGTTATCGTCGTTTTAATAATCGTCATTTGTTCTTTTGACAAATGCAAGAATTCTTTTTGTTCATTTTCTAGTTCCGAAATGTGATTATTATAATTCCTTGCGTCTGCTTGGGTCAATGTTCCAAACAAAATTTTCGAAATCTCACCTACAAAATTCAGGACTCCTCGTTTGAATCTTTGGTTCGAATTTTGATTGTCTGTCATGTATTCGACTACCAAATCTTTCAAATTGTCAATGTATTTACTTTTGGATCTCATATACTGTCCGAATGTGGCACAGTCTGTATAATGATACCAGTTTTTGTTTTTGATTTTCTGACAAAAATCTGCTGCTTTTCTTTGATGAATCTTTGTCTGCTTCCATAATTCCCTTGTCGGTTCTAGGTTAATATACGTCACTACTTTCCATTTCATTGGATAAAAGAATATGGTTCCCATTTCATCAAAATAAATTCCTGTTTTTGATTCTACCTCATCAATGGTCTGCCCCTGAAGTAGTCTCCACCACATGCAGAGTGTGACTAAAAGTATCCACTTACACAGCTGCATTTTCTGAAATTGAAGAGAAGTACGGTTTCAGCCTATTAATATGTATTTCATGATGCTTCCTTTTGCCTATTTCTTGGATAACAGCATTAGAACCTTTTATTTCTTTTATTTCATATGGCCCCTTCCACAATGGGTCCAATTTTTGCCTATTCTCTACCCTTAAGAGAACCAAGTCATTTTCTTTGAAATCACATTCATTTGATTTCACTCTTTGTCTTTGTGCTTCCTTGCACTTAATTAATCTCTCTCTCGCTATTTGCTGACAGTGTTGCATTTTGCCCTTTATCTCTAACACAATATCATCAAAGTTGTAAAGAGGTTGGGGTTGTCTTTGTAATTTTCCTGGAATGTTCGCAATTCTACCGAACAGTACTTCGTAAGGTGTGTATCTTGTTACCGTGTGTGGTGTAGTATTATACGTAAAACAAGCGAATGGCAACCATTCATCCCAATTGTTCATTTTTGTATCACAAAAGCACCTTAAGTAATTTGCAAGTGTCTTATGCGTCCTTTCTAACGCTCCATTACTTTCTGGGTGATATGCTGTTGTACAAATTTTATCAATTTTGAATAATTTACAAATTCGCTTAAATACATCACTCATAAAATTTGATCCTTGGTCAGTTACAATTTCATTAGGGATTCCATAGATTAGTACAATATTTTTAACAAAAGCATTGGTGACTTCATCAGCTGTTTGACTTTGTAATGGTACAGCAATGAAATATTTACTCAAGTTGTCTTGGCATGTGAGAATGTATTTCGTCCCACTTTCCGTTATTGGTAATGGTCCCACTATATCTAAATAGATTTTCTCCCACGGGGTTGTTTTGGTGTCCGTGATAGTTAGAGGTAACTTAACGTTTTGACGTGTCTCTTTGTTTATCTGACATGTCTTGCATTCTTTTATGTACTGCGCTACATCTTGATCTAGATTTGGCCATGAAGTATACAATTTGATTCGCTCAATTGTTCTATGAATGCCCTGATGTCCACCTATCGGACAATTGTGCATCTCTGAAATAATTTTCCGTTTTCTTTCTTCGGTCAACTCTTCTATGTTAACGTTCAAACATTGCACAGGATAACGGCTTAAACTGTCTGCATTACAATTTCTCTGTCCGGCCCTATATTCAATTTCATAATCATATTCTTCTAGTAATAACTTCCATCTCATGAGTCTTGAACTAGGATCTTTTACGTTAAAAATCCAGGTTAAACCTTTGTGGTCGGTAATTATCTGAAATTTGCGTCCCAATAAATATGGTCTGAAATGCTTACATGCCCATACAATGGCTAGTAATTCTTTTTCTACTGTTGCATAGTTCAACTCTGCTTTATTCAACGTTCTACTGGCATATGCCACTGGTTTATCTTGTCCTAATTTTCCTTGACTGAGTATGGCTCCTATGGCGTAACCGCTCGCGTCAGTTGTTAATATAAATGGCTTGTTGAAGTCAGGGTATTGTAACAAAGGGTTATTAGTTAATTTAAGTTTTAACAAGTCGAAACTAGCTTGTTCTTTTTCTGTCCATTTCCAATCGTTTTCTTTCTTAAGCTAGTCAGTCAACGGTCTTGCAATGGCGCTAAAATCTGATATAAATTTGCGATAATATCCTGCGAGACCTAAAAATGACTTAATGTCTTTTTGTGTGTTAGGTGTTGGAAATTCAACTACTGCTTTAATTTTGTTCTCATCCGGTCTAACACCTTCTGGCGTCACTATGTGACCTAAATAGTTTAGTTCCTCTTTCAAAAATTCACACTTATCAGGTTCTATTTTAAGATTGTATTCCCTTAATTTTTGAAA